AGGTTATAAGGGACTGGCAAGAAATATTCAAAGTCATAAAAAGCAGGGACCTACAGCCAAGATTGCTCTACGCAGCAAAGCTATCATTTAGAATCGAAGAGCAGATAGAGAGCTTCCCAGACAAGAACAAACTAAAGGAGTTCATCCTCACCAAACTATTATAACATGAAATATTAAAAGGACTTATTTAAGAAAAAGAGGAAGATCGAATTCATGAATAATAAAATGCCAATAAATACATATCTATCAACAATTAAATCTAAAAAACAAACTAAGCATACAAGAAGGACAGAGACAGAATCATGGATACAGAGAGCATTTTGATGGTTGCTAGATGGGAGGTGTGTGTAGGGAGATGGGTGAAGAGGTGAGGGGATTGAAAAGTACAAATAGGAAGTTACAGAATAGCCATGGGGATGTAAAGTACAGTGTAGGAAATGGAGTAGCCAAAGGACTTCTATGCATGAGCCACGGACATGAATGATGGAGTGGGGATTTCCTGAGGGAGTGGGAGTTGCTGGGTGGAGGGGGTCAAAGAAGGAAAAATCAGGACTACTGTAACAGCATAATCAATAATATATAACTTAAATTTTTTAAATCACCATTTTTTAAAGTTTTGGTGTCTATACTGTACTTAACATTCTCCCTATCCTTGCACGTTTAAGTTGCTTCCAATTATTTTCTGCTCTCTCTGCCAGACCATCTCTACACACTACATGAGCTTACCTAATGCTCATCAATTATCTATAGATGAGATCCTTAAGTCAATTAACAGGTGAGAAAACTGACACATGGAGGTTGGGTGTGAAGTGGAGCAAAGTCCCACCACTTCTCAGCAGCTTTGCTGGAGTTTTAACCAAGAAGTCTCACTTTAGAGCTGATGCTCTTAAACACTGCTCAAATTCATTCAATAAATATGTTCTTTGAATGCCATCTGTGTGGCAAGCACGCTGAAAAATGATAAGTACAAACATTTACTGAGCACTTTGTATATAGCAGGCCCTTTGCTACCTCATTTAATCTAAGCAACAACCCAATGCACTAATATTATCTGCATCTGACAAATCTGCAAACAACCACAGAGGAGTTAAGTAACTTCTCCAAAGTCACACAGGCAGCCAGGCTTTAGGCTCCTAACTCTTGAATATTTCTCTTCTTTTTCAGGGAACAGATGCCTGAGAAATAGATAATAAACACATGAACAAATAAATAATATGCCATAAAATAAAGTGATGGTGGAGCTCAAGTCATGGAACATACCCATGCAGCCACAGAATGCGGGAGACAGAGCACCCAGCAGCCCCATTCCTAAGTATCTACTCAAGAGATATGAAACGTATGTGTGTACACAGCAGTGCACAGGGACATTCACAGCAATTGTTTTCATAATTGGCCCAAACTGGAAACAGCCCCAGATGTCCTCCAACTGGTTACAGGTAAATGCATTGCAGTGCATCCATGCCATGGGACAGCACTCAGCAACAAAAAGGAACCATTGATAAGCAGGGCGAGGATGGGTTACACATGTATTAGGCTGGGTGAAAGCAACCGACCTCAAAGGGCTTCGAAGATACTCTGTATCTCACTACACTGGTAGCATTCTGGAAAAGGTAAACCTCTAGTGACTGAGGACAGGCTGGTTACTGCCTGAGGCTGGGGACCAAGGGAAGGATTAACAGCGAAGGGACAGGAAGGACATTGGGGTGATGAAAACATTCTGAATCTTGGTTGTGGTGGCTCCTTCATAGGAATGTACATCTGTCGAAACTCAAATTGAACTTTTTGAAAGGGTAAAATTAACTATACTAAATTCCCTCTTAATGAAGTTATATTTAAACATTTTTAAAGTGCAGTAAAGTATGAACTCCAATGAATAACAGTGTATCACTACAATAGATGGGGCTAAGAATGGTATAGGAAACAGAAGTCAAAGAACTTATATGTACAACCCATGGACATGAACTAAGTGGGGGATGCTGGAGGGGGGTGGAGGACGGAGGGGGGATAAAGGAGGAAAATAGGGAAACTGTAATAGCATAATCAATAGAATATACTTTAAAATTATTTTAAAAAATAAAATAAAAATAATGTATCAACAGCAGTTCCTTAATTGTAACAAATGAATTCTACTGAGGTGAAGATCTTAATAACAGGGGAAACTGGCTATGGGGTTTATGGGAACTCTGTACTATCTTTGAAATTTTTCTGTGAATCTAAAACTGTTTTAAAAATAACATTCATGCTTAAAAATGAAAAAACAAACAAACCCAGAATGGAGATGATATTATGCCCATGTTAATTTATGTAGGAAAGAAAAACAGGTTACAGACTCACCCATATCCTATAATAGTGTTTTCTTTTTTTATTGAGACATAACTGATATGTGACATTATATTACTCTCAGGTGAACAACATATTCAGTCAGTATTTGGACACATTGCCCTATGGACCACTTTGTGAGTTTGCCTGCCACCCTCATGTGGGGCCGTGCTATTCTCCTCTATGCGTCGTTCCAACCTCAGTGCGTGTTGCCGGTGAGAGTGTGAGAGTTCCTACATTTTTTAATAATCAAGGGTTATAAGGAAAAATATTAAAATGTTCAAAGTTAGAAGCTGTGAGTAATGGTACAGCTGGGAAATTTCTGGTTCTGTTTTATTTATTTATTTTTGCAAGGTTTGAATTTGTTTGTTTCAACAATAAGAGTGTTATTTTCTCTCTTGAAGAAAAATAAGGATATTATCATTTTTTAAAATTTGCTGAAATGTAGCAGCAAAGATTTGGAAGGAGGCCTTGGGAGGGAAGGGGGGCACTGCCTAGGGAGTGGAGGCGCCCAGAGCGCCCTGTCCCCTGCACATAGGAGCCAGAGGGGAACGTTTTGCCTGCTCCATGTTCCCCATCCTCAGCTCCCTCCACTTTCTCTCCTGCTCACAGATAGGATTGCAATAAAAATTTATCCAGTAAAAATACTGTATGTTCAATTAAAATTGAATTTCAGACACACTCCAAGTCATTTTCTAGGATAAGTGTATCTCATGCAATACTTGTGAAGTACTTCCAGTATTTGTTGTTTATCTGAAATTCACATTTAATTGGGCACCCAGTTAAATTTCCCAGTGTTTTATCTGGCAGTTCTGCGCCCTGCACACCAGCCAGCCTGGCCTCACGGTGGTCTCTCTCACATCCAGGCTCAGCCCTGCCGCAGGCCTTTACACCTGCTGGTCCTTCCGTTTGATCACTCTTCCAGGTCTTTGCTTTGACCACCTCCCTAGCTTTTGGTTCAAATGGCACCTCCTCAGGGAGGCCTTCCCTGGATACCATGTCTAAAGCAACTTGACTGTCCCACACTGGAATTATCATGTGATAGTATCCTTGTTTTCAGGGTTTCTTCTTTACCAACCTGGGTACAATTTAAGCTTCAGAAGGGAAGATTGTCATCTGGGCCACCACACTCTTTCCCACACTTGCATCATAATAAGTGCATGCATAGGTCCTCCATGGTTCTTGTTTTTTGCTTTGTTTTTGTTTTGTTTTGAATTCTCACCCAAGGACACTTTCTCGTGGCTTTACAGAGACAGAGAATGGGAGGGCATCAGTTGGTTGGTTGCCTCTCATATGTGACCAGACCAGAGATCACACACACCCGGACTGGGGACCGAACTGGCAACCTGGTTATGAGCCCTGACCAGGCATTGAACCTGCAACATTTCAGCTATGGGATGATGCTCCAATCAACTGAGCCACACTGGCCAGGGCTCATGGTTCTTATTTATAAACAACAGAAACCGTTTCTGACTGATCTGAGAAATAAAGGGCTTTGGTAAATAAGCCGTGTTAATAAATGAATCCAGACACCTGCAGCTTCCCCACCTTGTCTCTGCACAGACCCCAGACACCTGCGAGCTCTCCCCCGGGCCAGGCTGCCCTGTCGGGGAGCACTCGTCCCAGTTCCACTAAGCAGGCCTCTGTGTAGACTCCGAAAGCCTTGTTCAGCTTCGTCTCCCAGAAACCTCAGGGTCTCCAGTTCTGCCACCCGTCACTTCCAATGCTTGTCGCATGTCACAGGTGTTGCAATCAGCAGTACGTGCTTGCCTCCTGTGCACCCAGCAGTGGGAGCCCCAAGGGTTGGGCCTTTATCTGATTCACCTGAATCATTGTCATTCCTACTACTTGTTGTGCTCCCTCAGCGCCAGGTGCTGCGTTAAGCGTTTTACCTGTATTTCTCCTTCCTTCATTCATCTGACCAACTACGATTCATTCAAACTACTGCAATGAGCAACTTCTATGTGTTGGGTACTAGGGCTGCAGAAAGCCCTGCACCCCGGCTCACATTCTGATGGAGGAAATAAAGGGTACACAAAGTCTAAATGGCCTGAAGGAAAATAAAGCAGGGAAAGGGGATGGGAAGTGGGGGGTGGAATGCTGTTTTAAACAGGTGGGCAGGAAAGGTCTCTCTGAAAATGATTTTGATCAGAGGCCTGAAGGAGTGGGAAGGAGCCATGTGAATACCTGGGGCAGAGTTCTAGGCCCAGGGAACAGCCAGTGCAAACTCGGGAGGGTAACCCCACAGGCCTGAGGCCACTGTGGCCCAAGCAGGGAGGGCAAGGGCGACTAGTGGGAGACGAGGCCAGGGAGGCATCAGGGGCAGGTCACATGGGGTGGACCACAGGGAGAACGCTGGCTTTTCCCCTGAGTGAGATGGCACCCCAAGAAGGCTGAGGCCAGGGAGGGACAGGACCTGACACAGGCGTCCACAGGTCCATTTGCTGCACGTGGGGAACAGACTGTGGGGGCGGGAACAGGAGCAGGGAGACCCGGCAGGAGGTGAGAGAGAAGGTGGACAGGCCCAGGGTCAGGGCCTTGCAGGTGGGAGGAGACAAATTCTAGATAGATGTTTAAAGACAAAGCCAACCGAATGTACTGGGTAATTGAATATGGGGCATGAAAAAAGAGGAGCCAAGGACAACACTGAAGCTTTCAACCTCATTTATTCCCAAGGCAACACCACAAAGTATGACCATTCTTTCTGATACAGATGAAGAAACAGAGGTTCAGAGTGGGCTGGTGGCTCCACATCCCACAGGCAGAGGCAGAGCTGAGGTCTGAACCTAGTTCCTGCCTGGCTCCTGAGCCTGGCCTTCACTCTCTGGACCCCATTACCCGGGCATGCTCAGTCTGGCCACACTGCGCAAGGATGACTCCACAGCTTCACAGGCTTGCTGCACCCCTGCATGGCATGCTGTCACTGCTTGTCACCCATGTTGGGTAACCGTGTTTCCTTGCTGGCCTGCGACCTCCCACGGGGCCTGACTGGCTCTGATTCATTGCTGTCCCTGGTGTTGCCTGGAGCCTGGCATGTGGCAGCCTTCATTAAGGTAACAAATATTTATTAAGCATCTGTCTCGTGCTGGGCTTGGCCAGATCGAGTCCTGAACACCACCCTCCTGGGTTGACAGTCCAGTGGTAGAGACAGGCCCACTCCCAGACAGCACGGCCCAGAAAGGGCGAGGCTGAAATGGTGGGGCCCAGGGCCCTGACCCAGCCTGCGAAGGGTCTGGGAGGGGCTGGTAGAGGAGACAGACTCAGGAATGAACGAAATGGTTTTGGTCTCCACCCTCTCAGACCCCCGCCCCTGCCCCCGCCCAGCAGGGTACATCAACAATGAGCAGTTAACAAACCAACTAGAGAACTGCAGAATGCCAGGAGCTAGAAACGAAGTAAACAGATGGAACACAGAGTGACTGCAGTGACTGTAGCTGGGGCTGTCAGGGAAGGCTGAGACCTGGGCCTGAGAAGGTGCCTGCCTGGGGTGAGCTGGGATGAGGGCACTCAGAGGGTGAAGTGCCCAGGCCCTACGGTGAGAAAAAGCTTGGTGGGTCCCAGAAACCGCCAGGAGCCATGGTGCCCTGGGCCGAGCGGCAGCGGATGGGAATAAGATGTGTCAGCGCCAGCACGGGGGAGAACAGACTCGAAGTCAGCCTTAGAGCTGGGACTCCCGGGCTTCCCTCGAGAGAGGCCTCAGCCTTTGCCTAGAACTACCGGAATCAGGTCGTGTTTGTCAACCAGCTCAGAGCCCTCCTGTGGCTCCAGCTCACTGAGGGTAAAAGACGAAGTCCTCCCTGTGGCCCACAACACCCCAGACGATCTGTGCCCTCACCCCCCTGCCTCCATTTCCCCTCATTCTCTGCTCCAGACACACCGGCCTCCCCACTGACCCCCTGACAGGGCAGGCGCGATTCTGTCTCAGGGCCTTTGCACTGGCTTTTCCTCTGCCTGGAACACTGCCCGCTGGGTTCCTCACGTGGCTCCTCCCTCAGACTCCTCCCCCTACTCTCCATCCCCTTCCCTGCGTTTTCTGAGCACTTATCGTAGTTTACTGATTCACTGGGTTCGCTGTCTGTTGCCTGGGTAGAATGCCAGCTCTACTAGGGCAGAGTTCTCCACCCATGCATGGCTGTCTCCCAGTACTGAGAGCAGGGCCTGGTGCATCACAGGCAGTCAATAAATAGCTGTTGAATAGTGAAAGGAAGAAGGGAAACAGGGGAGGGGGAAGAAGGGAGAAAAACAGCAGGTCCGTGACACCCAAGGCTTGCCAGCCACTCCAGCTTGAAGGCAGTGTTAACACTTCTCAGCTTCCAGGGTAAGACAGTGCCAGGCTGGGAAACTGTGGCACAAAGGGACGGTCCTTTGCACTTTCTGGCCATTAGTGCAGTGAAGGCTGGCTAAAGGGGAGAAAGTCACGGTCGCCACCTACTGGAGAGGGGTGTCATGATGTGCCCACCTTGAGAGTTGGGGCTGATGATGCCTCTTGCCCACGCGGACAGGAGAGGGGCAGCCCAGGGGACATGCCCAGCAGAAGTGCAGAGTCCACGGAGCCACAACCACAAGTCTCTTTATTCCCCAGGCCTGTGGGCACCTCGCCCAGTCAGTGCTATGCAGCAGGGCAAGGCTGTGTCACCCACCTGAGTCTGTCTGTGTGTGTGTCCACGCCTGCCCTCCAGCACAGCTGCTGGGACCCTCACCTCTCCAGGAGGGGAGAGCTGCCTGGCCCCCTCATGCTGCATTCACCCCCGTGGGGCCTCAGAAAGGCAGAGGAGTCGAGGCCCGCCCTGACTCCCCAGCCTGCCAGCCCTGACTCCCCAGCCGGGCCTGGGTCCTGTTACACCAGCCAAGGCAGCAAGGCCAGTGGTTCCTGATGAGAGCTGCTCCCTCCCTAGAGGTACATCATCCGGTGGAGCAGGGGTCTCACCATCCATACATCATCCACAATCTTCCCATCCTGCAAGGAACAAAAATAGTTGAAGGTATAAAGGGTTGCAAGCCCAGACTCAGGGGCCAGGTGGCCTGGGTTCAAGTCCCAGCTTTGCCTTTGATGGGCTGTGTGACCTCGGACAGGTTGCTAGATGTCTCTGAGCCTCCACTTTCCTTATCTGCCAGGTGGGATGATAGTGATAGTTCATACCTCATCGATGTTGTGGGCCTTAAATGAGATATTTGGAGAGGGCACTTGACAAGGACAGTGTGAGTGCAGGTTATTGCTATTAGAGCACAAACCCTGGAGTCAGACAAAATCCTTGCTTTAATCCCAGCGCAGCCACTCTCTCTGTGGCCTTAAGCACATGCCCTGACTCTGAGCCCAGCTTTCATCTTCTATAAACTGGGGAGAACTGAAAAAGATAACACACACAAAAGCCTGCCCCTGGTGCATGTGCCACTCAGTAAAACGGTAGTTATTTGTAATGAAAAGAGCATGTTCTTTGGGGTCAGATGCCAGCTTCACCACCCTCCGGCTGTGTGATCCTGGGAAAATTACTTCCTCTCTCTGAGCCTCAGTTCTCTCATCTCTGAAATGAAAAGACAATCCTCCACATGGGACTGTTGTGATTCAGGTGCTACTCAAAATAAGGTGTCTAGCCCAGCATCTGGTACACAACAGGTGCTCAACGAATCATAGTGATTATCCTCGTTTTAAAATTATAATGGCAACAGTAAAGAAATGTGAGCCATGAATACTTGGGTTCGTCTAACCTTACACCAGCAGGACCACGCATGTGGCTCCCTTCACCCACCTCCCACCACCTACCTTTCTCTTCCCGCTGCTTCAGGTTGGTAAATAGCTATAGAATTTACCATGTTTTAGAAGCTGTTCTAAGCATTTTATATATAATAAGTCACTTAACTCCCATAAAATCCTGTGAGGTAGAAACTATTAAATGTCTCCATTTTGCAGATGGGATAACTGTGGCTCAAAGTTAAGTAAGTTGCTTCAAGTCATCTAGCTGGGAAGTGGCAGAGGCAGGACTCGAACCTAGGATCTCTGGCTCTAGAGTCCTCAGCTCCAGAGCACGCCAGAGCCTGGCTGCTTGGATTGGCGACTCAGGCACCCCTCACTCACCTGGTCATCAGACACCTGCTGGATGTGGACGTGGGTCCCATTGAGGATGTGTAGCCGCGTGTACCCATACTCCTTCACCCGCACAGCGCTCCAGGGCCGTGGGAAGAGAGTGAACCTAGTCAGGCGCTCCTCGCAGCCCTGCAGGAGACAGTCGTTCAGACCCGGGTGCAGGGCTGGTGGAGGACCCGCAGAGGAGCAGAAACAACCTGCCAGGCCAGGGTCCTGCTGCCCCCAAGGAAGACAAAGTCAGTTAAGACTTGGCCTCAATCATGCTCACAGTCGAGTGTTTCCACCCAGCTAGGCTTCCAGTGCACAGGTCTCCTAGAAAGTGCATGCCACACAAGACTGTGCACTGCAACATTTTCTGTAAAAGCCCTGAGCTGAAAGCCACCCAGATGCCCGTCTGTGGGGTCAGTTAAGCAAATCATAGCATCACCATTGCAAAGCAGGGCGATACAGAAACATGGCCAGGATGTACCGTTCAAGTGAAAATGCAACTGCAGAACAGAAGAAATCACAGAGTTTCAGCCCTCGCCACACAGGAGACCCTCCAAGAACACCTTTTAAAATCACCAGTGCCTGGGGCAGAGGGAGAGCTCGTCCTTGCAGCAGAGTGACCGACAAATGAGGGACCTCGAAAGAAATCACCATTTTGCAGCCATCATTCTAACATCGATTGAAGCTAGGATCATTGATAGATTGTAAAACTAGTGGTGAAAGTATGAAGAATAACAGGATATTATCCTAGTCTTAGAGTGTCTCCAGGAGACACTTGTTAATTCTGAAGGGGAAACAGGAATCATGGTGGGGAGGCTGGCAGACACCACCTTCCCCGAGCAGCAGAGAAATGGATCCCTATCACAGACGGGAAACTGAGGCTTAAAGGGGTTAAAGAGATACCACGCATCTCCTAGTAGTGTGCCCTGAAAACACATGCCACTTCTGGTTATTCTTATCAAAAGGGTGTAACTCCCACCTGATCATGAGCAAACAGACCCACACTGGGCTATTCTACAAAAGGATGTTGCTGTACTCTTCAAATTTTTCAAGGTCATGAAGAATGGAGAGTGAGGAATTGTTTCTGATTAAAGGATGCTAAAGAGGCAAGACACTGGAATAGCACATGTGATCTTAGACTAAATCCTGGGCTAGGAAAAAAAAACTCTTTGCTTTGATTTAAAGCGCACAAATGGGTCATTAGCTAAATTTGAGTGAGACCTGTAGATTAGATAATAATAGTACATTATCAAGGTTAACTACTTGAATTGTATTATTATACCATAGTGATGAGAGATAACATGATGCCCTTGTTTTTTAGGAAATATAGACAGAAGGGTAAAGGGGCACCGTTTCTGCAACTTATTCTTCATTGAATCTGAAAATAATAAAATGTGTGTACGCACATATGTACATGCATATGCGCATATATATAAAGAGAGATTAAAACAGGTATGGTTAAATGTTCACTTTTGGAAAACCTTCGTAAAGGGGATATGGAAAATCTTCGTGTTATTATTGCAACTTTCCTGTAAGTCTGAAATCATTTCAAAATTTTAAATTAAAGGAAAAAACTAATCTGTGCTAGTATAGATCAGAACAGCGATCCTATGGGCCTGAGGAGCCTCTGGGGCGGATGGCGTTCTGTTTCCCGCTCAGGATGCCGCTACACTGGGTGTGTGCTGCCAGGGCCCGCCCCCTCCCCCCCCCCCGCCCCCCGCCGAGGTTTGGTGCGTGGTCTGGGCTAGGGCCCAGGCATCGGTGTTTTAAAACCTCCCCAAGTCATCCTAAGAGGCGCCAAGGTTGAGAACTGCAAGGGTATGAAGCATGGTTCGAGTTGTTAAAAGAGGATGATGTAGTAACACATTTCTGTGTAGACAGTTACTCATTTGCACATGCAGGGAACATTCTAAAATGCCACCAAGAACGGGAACAACGGGGAGTGGGAGTAAGAAGGGGTGCAGATGGCTGGTGTTCACCTCCTGCCCTCTCTACTGCTTGAATTTTTACCATGAGAGGCTCCTACTAATCTGTAAGAATCAGCTTTAAAAAAAAAAAAAGGCTTTCTCTGCCTTGGCTAGGTGGCTTAGTTGATTGTAGCATTGTCCTGTACACCAAAAAGTGGGTTCGATCCCTGGTCAGGGCACATACAGAGGCTGCAGGTTCAATCCCATGTAGGGGAGGCAACAGATCAATGTATCTCTCTCTCTCCCTCTCCCACTAAAATCAGTAAGCATATCCTCAAGTAAGGATTTATTTTTTTAAAAGATTTTATTTATTTATTTTTAGAGAGAGAAGGGAGGGAGAAAGTGAGAAATATCAATGTGCGGTTACTGGGGGCCATGGCCTGCAACCCAGGCATGTGCCCTGACTGGAAATCAAACCTGCTATGTTTTGGTTTGCAGCCCTCGCTCAATCCACTGAGCTACGCCAGCCAGGTCTTGAGTGAGTATTTAAATAAATAAATACGTAAGACTTCTCTCCTTACAGAAGTAATTGATTCCAAGGTGGGGGCAGGGAAACACTACAGGATGACCCCGGAGTGCCTTGCAGTGCCGAAAAGTAAGGAAGTGCTCATGTCAAAGGGACAGGGGCCAACCTGGAGAGTTCCCAATGGCCAGAGCTGACACCATCTGAGCAGCAACACAGGCAATAGCATTGGGTCATAGCCCAAGGAGCAAAATAATTACCCATGAGTCCACATAGTTACAAATCAATAACTAACTAACCAAATAAATGAGGCAGAGGAACAGCTCTTCCTCACAAGAGGATTCTAATAAATCTAGGAGGAATGAGAGAAATAGAAGATTCCAGTGCAACACCACAGTATTAATTGTTGCAGGCAAGACCCAATGACAGTCGGAAATTAGTGGGTGAAAGTTTGAGGAGAAACAGAACACTTGCGTGGTCTGAAAGAATCTCCCCCAAGATTTCATTAATTAAAACGGGAAATATGATAACTCTCTGGAGGAGGAGTCCAGCAGATCCCTCCTCAAGCCGAGGCCTCAGAGAAACACGTCCAGGACAGACGCACCGACAGCACACACTCCCTGGGAGGATGCGCTGAGAGGACACGGCATCGCTTCTGTGACTGTCTTGCCCAAAGTGCATAACCCAAACCTCAGCCTGAGAAAATGTCAAATAAACCCAAACCGAGGGCCTTCTGCAAAACACGAGTGTCTGCAAATACATGAAGACAAGGAAAGACTGAGGAACTGTCAGAGAGTGGAGGGGCCTAAGAAGACACAACAACTAAATACTCTACAGGATTCTGGAACAGAAAAAGGTCATCAGTGAGAAAGGGGGTGAAGTGTGAATAAAGTCTGGAGTTCAGTTACAATAATAACAATAAGCCCTCTGCCCCCGGATCCCCTCATTCCACCTGGGCAAGCCCCCAGCCCCTGCAATCTATTGAATGTGTGACTTGGAACGAGCATTTTACTGTCTGAGCCTCTGTTTTCACATCTGGATGATGGGCGTGTTTCTAGATGTACCTAAACCATAGGGCTAAGTTAGTGATAGTGACCGTATGAAACGCTCAGCCCCCGAGCTGGTCCAAGTTCGACCCTCAATAAGAGAAAAGCAAGAAGCACCCTTCCCCGCCCTGCTCACAGCAGATCCTGTGATGATGTGGACAGGGCCTCGAGGGTTGGTGTAGGGTGTCTCTTGACTGCCATTAAATACCTGGAGAAAGGGACAAGGGAGAGGGGTGAGTCACACCAGACCATGCCAGAGAGTCTGAGTATGGGTCAGTGGACACCAGCCTCAGCCCTCCCTGAGTCTCACCTTGTAGTTGTAAATTGGCCACAGCCGTTCGTATGAGTGCTCATGAGCCCACAGCTGCAGGTCGACCCCTGAGACAGAGCAAGTGGGGGTCAGGCCCCTGGATCCAGGAGAGGTAGGAGTTGGAACCTGGGGCTGAGGAGCCTCCCCGCACCGCCCCCCCCCCCCGTCACTTACCATATTTGTAGAAAAGGTCCTCTAATCCAAACAATTTGCCAAAGAGGCCTTTTCGAACCTGGGCAGGAGGAGCAGGGGTAAGGGGTGACTCAGGCTGACCGCCACCTGGCTCTCAGCACCCTGCCCCCAGGGAGGGGGCCCTTACCTTGCTTTCATGCCATGTGCAGTCATCCAAGTCAGCATTGGAACAGTACATGGGCCGGTGACCCATGGTGATGATCCACGGCCGAGCTGCCCGGTTCTTATTGGCTTTCTAGAGACAAAGACCAGAGTGAGAGGTGGGGGCGGGGGGAAGGGAAGGGAGGCAGGTCCAATAGGTGACAGGGGACCTCCACCCAGGTTACCTGGAGGTCTTTCTCCAGCCAGTGAAACTGTCTCTCTACCAGGTGGCGGCCGTAGTGGAGGTAGAAATATACCTCCGTGGAGAAGGAGATGATGTGTGCAGGGCCCACATCCCAGCTGAGGGGTCAAAGGGCAGCGGTCAGAGATGGGGTCTGTCTGCACCTCTCATCCTTCAGGGGAAGGAGGCCAGTCCCCTCGCCGCCCCCTCTCCAGCTTACCTGTACCACAGGCCCTCGGTGTTCCCCGGCATGCTAAAGCGAGCCTTGTAGTTAGAGAAGTTGCTGGATAAAAAGAAGTAAAATGCTGAGGGGGGAGGGTCTGGGTGCCTCCACCCACCCATCTCCCAGGACTATGAAGTCAAGTCTGGATCGAAGTCCCTCTCTCCTCTCCTCTCCTCTCCTCCCCTCTCACTACCACAGATGAGCTGTTGCAGCATGAGGGACTGAGGTGGGACACCAAGAAGGACACATCTGTTCTCACTGGCCAGGCCTGTGCCCACCCTGAGGCCCCTGGCCCTCACTAGCGTTCCTCGTGATTCCCAGGGCAGGTCATGTACGGCAGGCTGGCTGCCACGGGTTCGATGAGCCGCATGAACTCGTCACCGACGCGAGCGTTGTCCTGATCCATGTTGTAGGCAAAGTCTCCTGGGGGGTGGGCGGGGGGTGGGGGGTTAGAGAGTGAGGACCCAGACCTAGCTCTGCTTTTGCCAGAATTGAGAGCCCTGGTTGCTCAGGTGTGGGCTGGGCCATCCCAGGTCTCTGATCCCTCCCTCACACCCACCCAGGTGCGCATCTGGAAGTGCTTCCTGAACCTCTGGCCCCTGGTCTCGTGTGCTCCGACCACGTCTCTGCCCGCCATCTCGGGCCCTCCCAGAGCAGCAACGTGAAGACTGACGGAGTCTGGTACTGGTTTTATGCCAGGCACAGTTCCAAATGCTTTACATGCTTGATCCTTTGAATCTTTAAAACACCCTCTGAGGTGGGTGTTGTTATTATTATCCCCATTTCAGGTGGAAAAACTGAGGCCCAAAGAGGTTAAGTGCTCCCCGGAGGTCACAGACCTGGTTAGCAAAGGTCCAGGAAGAAAACCCTGGGAGTTTGGTTCCAGACTCTGTGGCTTTGAACCACATCAGCCCCAGTCTTCACGTCCCATTGGCTCCCTGTCCCCTCAAATCACAACAGCAGTGATAACAACTAGCACAGCATACCAGACAATGCCGACTTATTTAGTCATCACAACAGTCCTGTGAATGCTGAACTCACTTCGGCTCTAACAATAATAACAGGGAGGAAACCAGTTTGCAGAGCTCTAAGGATGTGACTTGGGATTTTAAACTGGGTGGCCTGGCTACCACAGACACCATCTCCACAGCCAGTCCCTTCAGCGCCCTGCCCCAGGCCCCTCCACAGTCCTGCAGTCGCTGCCACCTGGGCCCCGCGCCCCCGCCCCCGCACCTCCAGGCACACCCTTGCCAATGCCTCACCCACATGGAGAACAGCATCGTACATGCCCTGCTGAGTGTCCCTGCGCAGCCGGGGTAGGGCCCTCGGGTTGTCAGCCCCAAGGTCCCCAAACACAGCCAGACGGGGGCTCCAGTGGGGTCCTTTCTTTAGGGCCCTGAAGCGGAACCGCCGGCTCCAGCCCTGAGTACTGCCACAGCGGTAAACTGAAGGGAAGGGAAAGGACAAGGGAAAGGTCACAGTCATCTGGGAGCCCCCGGTATGTCTCCCCCCCTCCCCCACACACATCTTTGGTTGGTCTGTCGGTCAGGGAAAGAGGTGGGGGTTGGATAGGTTTGACCCATGCCCCTCTGTCCACCTCACTCCAGGTCCCCATCACCTCCCATCCCAGGGTCGCAGACAGTCGGCTTGCATCAGCAGAGGAGTCAGGAGCCCAGCCTGAGCCGCCTGCCAGTGCCAGCTCCTAATCCATTTCCCTCTCCTCTTCCATTCACCCCTCAACACCCAGGACCCCTCTCACCGTACTGGATGCCCGGCAGCAGCCCCCGCAGTGTGACACGGTGTATGTAGAGCTTCCGCCGGAGAAAGCCTCCATCCACAAAGGGGCTGGCAGTGCCCTGGGCCCGGAGGGGCAGGGGCCCCGATAACTGTAGCCCGAACTGCACTTCAGACGGGGTCGGGACCCATGTGGTCCAGGTGACAGTCATGGATCCCGGCTCATCTGGGCAGAAAGGAGCAGAGTGGGGCTGAGCAGTGACGCCTGGGCAGAGCAGGGAGGCATGCGCAGGGAGAGTGAGGGGCAGTGATTGACAGCTCCTGAACACTCAGGAGTTAAGGACATAGGTGGTAGAGCTTCCCAGGTTCAATCCCAGCTCTACCATTTCCAAGCTGTACTTTCCTTGGGCAAGTCACTGCTTCTTTAAGCCTAAGTTTCCTTATTTGTCAAATGGAATAATAATAGTATCTACTCTATAAGGTTGGTATGAGGCATAGATTAATAAATAACAGGTAAAGCACTTGAAACAGTAGATAGCACATTAGGGTTATAAAAGTGAATGGATACTATTATTATTAATATCAGTAGTTACTGTGTACAGGCCTTGTGCCAAGCATTTTGCATACATAATATCATTTAGGGGTCACAAACTCAAACAAATGTCTAGAGGCCAGCTAGGTAATATAAGTGGGAGAAAGGGCCAGCTGCAAGGAGTAAGGCAGTAGGGGGCTGTGGGGTGTGTGGCAAACTGCAGGCCTTGCCAGGTCTAAAAGGGGCAGCCATCGCTCAGCTCTGGTGATATCTGCCATGCAGGAAGCAGGCCCAGCACCACCAGATCTGTCCATTTCTATAGTCAATCTTTATACAGTGGTTTTTTATGTCCAGGAGCATATATAGATAGATATACAAAAGCAGACTTTTATATGGTTACTCTAGATTCTTAAAAGTTAGCAGGCAAATCAAGGTTTTAAAAATATCATGAGGTAGCCCTGGCTGGTGTGGCTCAGTGAATTGAGTGCTGGCCTGCAAACCAAAGGGTCACCAGTTCAATTCCCAGTCAGGGCACATGCCTGGGTTGAGGGCCAGGTCCCCAGTAGGAGGCATGTGAGAGGCAACCACACATTGATCTTTCTCTCCCTCTCTTTCTCCTTCCCTTCCCCTCTGTCTAAAAATAAATAAATAAAATCTTTAAAAATATATCATGAGGTATAGTGTAACGTTAAGAGCATGAGTTCTCCCTCCAGCAACATGAAAACACACATGCACAGGGTTACACATTACGGCGCTGTGTATAATCACAAAATACCAGAAACAAGGGGAACACCCACACGTCACAAGGTGACTGAATAAACGCTACAACATGCACACAGTGGAGCACTATGCAGCTGTCAAAGAGAAAGAGGACAAGCTCTAGGAACTCTAGGATATGGAACAATGTCCAGAACATAAAATTTAAAAAGCAAAGCTTATGCAAGTATATATAGCCAACTCCTCTTCATGGAGGAGAGTACAATATAGAAACACAAGGATGTGCTCATTTGTACAAAAGAAATACAGGGAGGCTGTGCCAGAAACTAAAGAGATGGGTTGCTAACAAGGGGTGGACAGGGAAGGAAGGCGTAGAAGAAAAGGAGAAATTGGGCAGTAGGAATGAGGAGGGAGGCTGCCTCTCCAAGTCTATCTTTTCTGGTTAAAAATTCTGACTCCCAGAATTATAGTCATGTTTCATATTTCCTTCATATGCCCCCAAAACAAACCAACAAAACTACCCAGGGTGTGAGGAGAAGCTAGTATGGAATGCAAACACTAACAAACGGTTGAAACTGTATTTAAAAATGAATAAAGTAACCACACTGAGGGCGTGGGGAAGAAAAGCAACGTGGGAAACAGTCCTGACTGGGTCCTCGAGGCAACAGAGGGAAAGGGCTGCCCGCGGTGCCGTCACCCAGGAGGTGCTCTCACAGGGACAGGGGAACGACGCCAGAGCCCCTTTGTGCCTCGACCAGCATTGAACGAGTGAAGAGGCGTGCCGGAGACAGCAGGAGCTAGGTTTATCAATGTTTAAGAACAGAGTTACAAACAACTACAGAAGGCAACAATAAACACTTTTTTTAAAATTAACATTTGAGCCCTGGCTGGTGTGCTTCAGTTTGCTGGAACATCATCCCCTATACGGAAAAGTTGCCAATTCAATTTTCAGTCAGGGCACATGCCTAGGTTGAGAGTTCAATCCCCAGTTTCGGGGTACCTATGGGAGGCAACTGACCAATGTTTCTCTCTCACAGCAATGCTTCTCTCTCTCTCTCTCTCCCTCCCTTCCCCTCTCTCTAAAATTAATAAGCATGTCCTTGGGTGAGGATAAACAAATAAAGAAAGAAACAAACAAACATTTGACATTGGACTGAAATCGAGGTATCAGTATGATCCCATTGTATTTAATATACGTGTACATAGATACAGAAATATAGACATGGCATATGCTTATAAACATACACCCGTGTGTGACCTTGCTCCATGTGTGAGAAGGCCTAGAAACAATGATGCCTCACTAGCAATGAGCACACCTATTGCTCAGATCTTGGTCTCTAAATGCCCATTCTCCAATGGAAGGAATTAGGGAGCTTTGGAAAAGTTGTTGATTCCAGGGTGGGAAATATACATGATGAACCTGGAATAATTTGTAGTGGCATAAAGTTAGGAAATGCTCCAAAAAAAAGATGTGTTTTTGTTCAAAGAACACAGAGGCCAACCCAAAGGAATTGCAAAAGACCAAATCAGGGACAATTTGAATCACAAAATAAATAATGATAATACAGGATGTTAACCCATAGAATAAAATAAATATCCATGAGCCCATACTGATATAAATAACTAATTGAATAAACAAATAAATTAATTAATTAAGGAGGGAAGAACAGCCTTTCCTGAGGGTAGAATTTCAATTAGATGGGAAGAGAGAATTAGAAGATTACAAATCCACAACCAGGCAAACACTGCACTAGTAATTGTTGCAGACAGGATTCACTGATGGATACTAAAATTAGCGTGCAAAAGTTTCAAAAGAAACATGATTTTTGTAGTCTCAAGGAACCTTCCCCAAGACATTTATTAGCAATGAAGGAAAGAATAAGAACATTACAGTGGAGAAACCCAGGAATTAAACAGTGATGGTGAACATCACCAGTGACAGTGATAAGCCGTGACACCACGATGCAGGAAAGATGCGGCATCACATTGACCGTCGTCTTGCCAAAAACACATAATTTAGTTCCAATCATGAGAAAAGATCAGACAAACCCAAAACTAGGGATCTTCTACAAAATAATTGCTTAGTACTCAAAAATGTCAAAATCATGAAAGGTAAGGAAATACAGAAATTGGCAGATTGGAGGAGACACAACTAACTGCTAAATAACTAAATCAATAAAAAAAAATTGGTGAGACTCTAATAATGTCTGTAGTTTAGCTAATAAATAACACCGCGCCAATGAAACTGGCATCAATAACAGTGCCATGGTTAGGTAAGACACATTAGGAGAGACTGGGTGAAGGGGATGTAGAAACTAATATTTTTGCAAAATTTCTGTTCAATCTAAAATCAGTACAGAATTTAACATTTTACAACAAACACCATGGCTCTTGAGCTGCTTAGGTTCGAGTTGCAGACTGGGTGACCCAGAGGCAGATGCTTTGACCCTGTGAGCCTCAGTTCACTCTTTTGTACAACAAGAGTAACAACAGCCTTTACAGCTTAAGGTCCAAAATGAGGTCCATCGCGTTATCCCACTGAGGCACTAGTCAAAGAGTATATTTGCTACTGTTGTTTTGTGGGCCAAAGGACAGCTGTGATCTCGCTGGATTTTCACAGCAGCCCTGAGATACAGATTTTAGTGCTGTTCCTTTTACAGAGGCCTCCAGGCAAAGTGTGTCGTCCAAGGTCACTTGGTTAGCAGGTGCCAAAGCCAGCTTATTCATGCAGTTTCAGATTCCACATTGCAACTAATCTTTAAGAAATTATCTTCCTTAAAAGAGTCAAGGACACAACAAAGAAAAATTGAGGAAGTGTCACAGATAGGAGGGGACCAGAGACATGGCGGCTAGATGCATTAGGGAATCCTGCAGCAGATCCTGGGTTAAAATTAAGACATTAGTAGAAAAACTGAAGTCCGAAAAAAAATCCATGTTTTAGTTAGTAATGTGATGCCAGTGTTAATTTCTTAGCTTTGACGATGGTACCACGGACACGAAAGAGATGAACATTAAGGGAAGCTGGGGGAAGGGGTACAGAAACTATACTATCTTTGCAACTCTTCTGTATGTTTAAAATTATTTCAAAATAGAAAGCTAAAATAATTAGGAAGGGAAGGTGGGAAAGGGAGGGAAGGAGGAAAAGAAGGAAAGAAGGAAGGAAAAGAGTTGGGTTTTGGTGAAAAAGAAACAGCCACGATTCTTTGAAACTCCTTTTAAAATCCTCGTCTCTGTTTCAACTACATGTCTGCATGAGACCCAATTTTCACCATATATGTCATCCAAAGTAGCATATTGAAACAGGCTGAAGCAAAAGCAGATGTGAGGAGGACCTGGCTGTCTCCAGACATTAGACTTTAAAAGATGTAACTCAATGCCACTCTTCTGGCCAGATTTTTTTTCTTGGTAAAGTGTAGTTATTTTTCATGAAAAATGTCATTTACCTTAATACAGATGGGTTTATTATTATTCATTTTAAATGACAATAAATATTTCTAAATGCCTCAGTTTTGGTTTCTAATATGGCAAATACTATGGATGTAACTCACATAAACTAAAGCTCTTTGAAATTCTCAATCATTTTAGCTGTGCTAAGCAATCCTGAGACAAACATACATGAGACCTCCTGCTACACATCGAGCTTCATTTTTGCCACTTCATAGGTAACATGTCATTTATTCCTCACTATGAGGTCACACTACTATCAACCCACTGTCCAGATGAGGCGGCTGAGGCCAGAGAAGTTAAGTCATTTGCCCAAGGCGACATAGCAACGTTAAGATTCAAACCCAGGGAATCTGGGTGCAAAGGATTCAAAGTCCAAGGTCTTACTACTTAGTGCACCACCACCTCATGACCAAGGATCAGGAGGTGGCTTGTGGGGACACAATGAGCAGTGACACAATGAGCAAAGACAACAGCAGCTCCCTTTGGAGAGTGCTTACTGTAGACTGGGCTCCAGAATCACCTTCCACACAGCCAGATGCACTACTGCTTGTAATTCCCACTTAACAGATGCAGACAACTGAGGCTCAAAAAGAGTCAGCCACCAGCCTAGGGTCCCACAGCAATCAGTGTGGGGCTCCTGAGACCCCAACCCAATGGGCCTCCCTGGGAAATGCCCTGGGAGGGGTCACACTTACCTGGGTAGGACAGGTGGACTTGCTCCGGGGCAGCTTTGGGATCTTGTGGGATCCCCTGGATTCCCAGGGAGAAAAACAGGAGCAGACAGCAGCAGGACCAGCAGGGAAGAAAGGGGCTCATAGTGGAGGGGGGTGGGGTGCAGAGAGGGGAAGGGGTCGGGGACTGGGCAGGGGTAGATCAGATTTGGTCAGGGACAGTAGGAGGGTTGGGGGGGGCAGGAAGGAGAACGGAGGCAGGTAATGTCACTGCGGGGGAGGCAGGATGGTAGGGAGGTCTTCGAGGGGACTGGTTATCCAGATGCTGGAGAGCAAACAAAAATAATGATCACCACCTGGCAGCCAACCCTCTCTGAGCCTCACTGGGTGCTAAGCACATTGCACAGATTAAGTCACGGGAGCCTCACAGCATTCCTCTGTGTGGTGGCCACTGTGATCAGCAGCCCCATATCACAGATCAGGAAAATAAGCAACCCGGTGATTGAGTTGCACAGCTCAGATGTGATGGAGCCAGTTTTGGAACCCAGGAGGTCCTGGCTCGAGAGCCCTGGCTCTGAACCACAGCTCCCTCTCCTATCTGGGAGTGGGATGGGGGCTCCTGCAGGAAATCACCTTGGGCAACCTCACCCCAGCATTCCGTCCTGCTCTAAGGAATGCCGATGTCTTCTACCCGACTCCCTACATCCCTAGCATTCCACCCTGCCCTCAGGGACCTCATCACTGAGCTCCAGCCTCCAGCTTTCTATTTCGGTCTTAGTGACCTCAATTCTCCATGCCGTCCCCAGATCCCCCAGAAGTCCATCCTACCTGGATCGGCTCCATCCCCTCTACCAACCCCCTTCCAGCACCCCATCCTGGCTTTGTGACCCCAATCCGCACCCCCACCCCGTCTCCACCTGTATACCCAACCCCCTTCTCCGTAGCCCTTTCCCGCCAGCTCCAGGCAGACCTCCGGCTCCCCAGGACCTGCCAGGCCCGGAGGCTGGGAGCTGGGGTGGGGGCGCCCTCCTTGTGCCCAGCTCACCCTCGAGGGCGCCAAATGCCCGCACGCACGTCTCCGGCCACCACTACGGCTGCAGTATTTATGAGTTTGCAGCGCCGAGGCATCCTGCCGCCCACAGCCGTCCCAGCCCCGGAAGAGCCTGGCTTCTCCAGGTGACAGGCTCCGCAGACAGCCGGGGCCCCGGGTCCCACAGGTCCGGCCGGTCCTGGGTGCCCCACGCCCACCCGCCCCCCTCCCCCAGGGCGGGGCGTGAGAAGGAGGACCCAGAAAAGTTTGGTGCGCCGCCGCTGCCGCCTCCAAGTCGGCCACCAAGTGAGCGCCCGGACGGGTAAGGCTGCCCTTGCCCCAGACGCCCCTCCCCGCAGCTGCAGAGCCCCCAGCATACAGACCTCGGCCCGCAGCCCTGGCCCTACAGGGTACCCACCGTACCCGGGTGTGCTGGCACCAACGCCTGCAACCCAGGCATTCCCCATCCCATCGTGCCAGCTTCATCTTCCTCTCAGTTCCTTCCACCTTGCTCCCTCGGCGAGCTAAACCCACTTATTCCTCCCCAGACTGCCCCAGCATGCTGAAAACACAAAATCAAAATCCAGGAATGACAGTGCTGCTTCTGAGCTGTGTGCCCTAGGCCGGTTACTCGACCTCTCTGGGCCTCGGATTCTTTACCTGTAAAATGAAGGTAATAATGGTACGTATTCTATGGGCTGTGGTGAGGATTAAACCTGTTGATGCATGAAATTTCATGCAGAGAACGCACCTGGCCCAGAGTAAGGGGTGGATAAGAATCAGCTGTTATTTCTACTATTAATGCATGAACTCCAGAAATTGCCCTGGGGTCCAGGAAGAAGCAACTGAGAATCTGCTAGCCTCTGTGATGGGTTGCAAGGTTGTGAGTGGCTTGCCTCGAAGTACGCTCGGGGGGGTTCCTGGCAGGGCAGGAAAAGTCTGATTACAGAATCACAAATGTTTTTAAAACAAATGTGATACAGTAATATGTGTGCTCTTTTCCTCTTGAGCTCTTATGTTTGAGTTTTTCTTTGCTGAACTTTTAAAACACTACTGTGGTTGAATTATTTGCTTCTTTTTTTAATTTCACTTTCAATTACAGTATACATTCATTATTATTTTGTATTAGTTTCACATGTACAGCATACTATATGCTTCTTTCTTAACGCATTAAACTTCAAGATCCAGCCTGGCCCTGCGGCTCAGTCGGTGGGAGCGCACCTCCGGCTCCATTCCGGTCAGGCGCGTGCGGGGTTGCAGGGTCGGCCCATGAGACTGCTGTTTCTCTCTCACGACGATGTTTCTCTTTCTCTCTCTCTCTCTGCCTCCCCTCCGCTCTCTCTAAAATCAATAAGCATACCCTTGGGTGAGGATTAAAATACAGAAATAAAAACAAACTTTAAGATCCAGTGGCAGGTCACAAAATCATGGTCACTTAGAAGCTTGGGCGAACGTGCGAGAGCCCTACAATAACTGGGGCGGGGGGGGGGGGAGTTGGAAACACCCGTGTTTCTTCTCGGGACGAAGCCAGTCCCGCGCTGTGGCCCCGCGGCCGTTCCCCACCCTCCATCTGCCCCCTATAGTTTCCCTGCCCCACACACCGCAGGCGTGCTCAATCTCAGTTACCTTGCAGTTCTTAAGCTCCTCTCTCCCTCCCTCCCTCCCTCCCTCCCTCCCTCCCTCTCAGTTTACAGTGAAAGAGTTTATCTGCGAAGCAGTGGGACAGAGAGGAGGCTAATCTGCAGGCAGAGCAGACAAACTTGACCTCCTTAAAAATCACTGAGGACCCCAAAGAGCTTTTGTATATGTGGGTTCTAATATGCATATTGACCAGCTGAACTATGTTGTACACCTGAAACTAATGTATTATTGTGTGTCAACTATAATTTAAAAATACAAATAAATTAAGAAAACTGAGAAGTTTTAAAACACAATACACATGCCTATGTTCCATTAGCCAGCAGGGTGGTGATGTCATCACAAGTCAGATAGGCTTTGGAGGATGAAACACACACACTCACACACACACGTATTGTTAGGAAATGGCTTTGACCTCATTAACCCCTGAAAAAGGTCTTGAGGGCTCACAAGCATTCCCAAACTACATTTTGAGGACTGCTAAGTTAAAGGAGAGCAAAAGCAACGAGGTCATTGTTTCTCCCATCTAAGTTCACACAACTGCTGACTTCCATGCACCACACAGGTTCAAAGGCCGCACTGGAACCCTGGTTGATGAGGGCTCCTAGCTCACTTTCAGCCCCTCCCCTATTCTCAGAATGGCCGTAGAACTATTTCTAGTTTCTCTTTTTATATACCTTTGTGTTTTGAGAGATGGACTTCTACTTCCCTATTTTGTGTTCCACTCTTTGGAGTGAAGACTCTTGCGGTGCTAAGCAGAGCACATACTCTTGGACTAGATGGCCTGTGTTTAGATCTAGCATGAGCACAGCCCACTGTGCCTCAGCGTCCCCATCTGTTAAATTCGGATAACAATGTAACAACCTCAAAAGGTTATTGTGGAGATTAAATAAAGTAGGAGCTATAAACCTCTTAGCAGAGTACCTAAACAGAGTCAAATACCACACACATCCCTTCCAATTATTTATCATACCTAACACATCTGGTCTGTCCAGTTTGTAAGATAAGGATATGGTGAACCTACTTTTCAAAGTCATTTTTACATTATTCAAATCGTTATTATGGTGAAGTATGACACATATACAGAAAAGTGCCTGAAACATAAATACTTCACCTAGTGAATTATGACTTGTGTCCCCCACCCCCATTCTTTGTGAAGAAGCAAATCTTCCCAGCTTCCCACAGGCCCCTGCTGCCTCTGCCAGGCACTACTTTCTCCCTGTGAAGGTCCCCACTTCCCTGACTTTTACCTGATTTAGGTTTAAGTATGCCTCCCTATACACAGGGGTTTCATTTTGCCTACTTTCCACGTGATGTAAATAGAATTATATAGTATAGACTCTTGTGCCTGGCTTCTTTCTCTCAACATTATGATTGTGAAATTCATCTGGGATGGGTATAGAAATGCAGTCCATTCCTCCCCATTGCCGAGTAGTATTACATTGTGGGAGTACACCGCACTTTATTTATATGCCAGCTGGGAATTTGAATTGTTTCCATTTCTGTCTCTTGCAAATAATATTGAGCTTATCATTCTAGTACATATTTTGTCCTAGTACATTCACAACACAAGTTGAACGTATATACACATTTCTTTTGGATACAAAGGCAGGAGGAGAATGGCTTGGTCACAGAGTGTGCGTGTGTTTACTAGATACTACCAAAAAGTTTCTCAAAGTGATTGTAATAATTTCTTCTCCTCCCCCAGCCATGTTTGGGCAATTCCATTGCTTCACATCCTCACCAACACTTGACCATATCAGGTGTTTTAATTTTAACCATCACACTGGATGTGTAGTGGTAGCTCATTGTAGTTTTAGTTTGTGTTTCCCTGATGAGTAATAGAATTGAACACCTCTTCATGTGCATGTTGGCCTTTGGGATATCCTTTTTCATTATGTGCCTGTTCAAGTGTCTTGCTCAACTTTCTACTGGGTCATCCTTTTTAAAAAATTTTATTTATTTACTTCTAGAGAGGGGGGAGGGAGAGAGAAAAAGAGGGAGAGAAACATTTATGTGTGAGAACTACATCAATTGGTTGTTTCTCCCATGCCCCCAAGTGGGGACCTGGCCTGCAACCCAGGCATGTGCCCTGACTGGGAATCAAACTGGTGACCCCTTGGTTTGCAGGCTGGCACTCAATCCACTGAGCCACACCAGCCAGGGCAGGTTGTCCATTTTTTAAAATGGATTTGTTCTTTATGTATTCTGGACACCAGCCATTTGTCAGTTGTATGTACTATATACATCTTCTACTCAATGGCTTGCCTTTTCACCCTCTTAATGGCACTTTTTAATGCACAGAAAGTCTTAACTTTAAAAGGCGAAAGATTTATATGATCAAAAGAGGAACCAGAGTATGAGAAGGTCTGGCCTTTAGCGTAGTCCAATTTCTCAATCTTTTCCTTAAGGATAGTTACTTTTACATCTTATTTAAGAAATATTTTCATACCTCTGAAATATGCTGATACTCTTATGTTATTTCCCAAAAACATTATCATTTTGCTTTACATTTAAGTTGGCAATCTATTGGAACTTGTTTTTGTGTGTGATGTGAGGTAGGGTTTTCCACTTCATCAAAGGAACACACATGGCTGATAAAGATAAATGAGTCTGCTTTCTTAAAGAAATTTCTTCTTTTTTTAAGATTTTTTTTATTTATTTATTTTTAGACAGGGAAGGGAAGGGGAGAGAGAGAGAGAGAGAGAGAGAGAGAGAGAGAGAGAGAGAGAGAGAGACATCAATGTGCAGTTGCTGGGGGCCGTAGCCTGCAACCTAGGCATGTGCCCTGACTGGGAATCGAACCTGCGATACCTGGTTCGCAGCCCGCACTGAATCCACTGAGCTATGCCAGCCAGGGCAAAGAAATTTCTTCTTAAAAAGTGGTTTCCATTATGGAAGTAATATTATCTTATTACTGATATATAAGAAGCTAGAGACAGTCAGAAATTAATGGTTCAGGGAACTGACAAGCCTGGATTTGGATCCTGGTTCTGCCACTTCCTGGCTGGGGAATCTTGGGCAAGTCCCACCCTTCTCTTAGCCTCAGTGCCTTAATGTCTAAAATGGCTATGGCAGTGCCTACCTCACAAGTGCATGGAAAGATACAGCGTGTAAAGCCTGTAATACAGGGTGGGGCACAAAGAAAGAGCTCAATTAGTAGTAGCTACAATTATTAACAACGGATTTTATTCAATCACTCAGTGTCCATTTACCCCTAAGCTACCTTTAGTAACAGTGGATGCCCCTCCTTGGTGCATTATTTTTTTTCGTAGACACAGGACCTGGGCTGTATCAGGGTCATGCCATAGTCCAGTGCTATTGTCACCAGAGTCTACTAAACATTCTCGTACACTGGCTGCATGCTGTTCCACTGCGTGGCATACTTCACCCATTCTGAGAAGAAGAGAGTAAGCGTTAGCGGCAAAAGTCCTTTGATATAAGTCCTTTGCTTCTCTTTGCCTCAGTTTCCTCACCTGTAAAAGGGAGCTAATATACCACACTGCACACTTGATATGTTTTAGG